CTGGCCTCTTCCCCCAACCCCCAATAATTTCAAAATTAAAAAAAAAGAAGAAAAAGCATCCTTAACCTCTGTCAGCGTCTCACAAGGGCCTGTGACCAGCGGAGATTAAGGTCAGGTCTGTGACCACTAGGCCCAACTTCCTACCACGTCAGTGATTTCTGAGTGGGCAGGGTCAGCTCAAGTTCTTCCTCAGGTCACGAGGGAAGCTGCTGAGTCCTCTCCACATAGCCCCTCGGCCATGGGGGCCTTGGGTACTTATCACACGGCCCCGCACACTGTGCCCGGAGTTTACAGGTGGCTCCTGGGAGGAGGTTTGACCACAAACCCCAGAACGGGCAGGAATCCGACGTCAGGTACCTTCTCTGGCAGGGCCGGTTCCAACAACCCATTCCTCCTCCGAGAACAATCAGCATGTTTGTTTTGGCATCCCTCTGGGTGCAATGCCCTCGCCACGCCACACTGGCCCTTTGCTGGGAGCTGTTCCTCTACGAAAGGAAGGCCACTCCAGGGGGCTGCACCCCGTTCCCCGGGGGGACCCGTCACCTCCCCAGCGGCCGGGCCTCAGGAAGAGCCCTCGGCCCAGTCGGCAGGGCCCGAGCTGCCCACTGGACCCTCTCCGGTTGTTGGGACAACCGTCCTCAGGAATCCCAGCCTCCCAGCCTTCCCCTGGGGAAGAAGGGGCCGGAGCTGGCAGGGCGGCTGCCTGGCTGCTCTTCCAACCCCCTGGTGAAAGGGAACGCTGAACACTGGATTCCCTACCCCCAGCAGCCTCCGGGCCGGGACAGCACACAAAACAGCTCAGCCCCGCAGGGAGGAATGTGCCAGGACATTCTTTGGGGTTGGTAACCCGAGATGCTATTTTGTTCTCGGTGGCTAAGAAATCCCTTTTCTGACTGAAGGCCCATTGCACTGGCTTCTTTCAAATGCAAGGGGAATGGGCAGGCATCCCCTCGATTCAGGTAAGGGGAAAGGCCCAAACGCAAACAGCCACACATAAGACTTTTGTGTGTGATTCTGTTTGTTTCCCAGCACGAACCAGCTGCAGAGATGTAAGCACCTGGGCAGAATTTATCTCCTCCGCCCCCACCCCCTACCCCAAAGAAGTCTGGCTCTTTCCAGCTTCTTAAATGTTTCCTTCTCTTCACAGCCCCTTTACCCTCCCACCTACCCACACCCCCAAATTCTGCTTTGGAGGCAGGAGGGGTAAGGAGGAGCCTGAGAGCAGGCAGGGTCCTTCTAGACAGACCAGTGTTTCCCAAACTTCGCTCATGATGAGAATCACCTGGTGGAGTTGTTAAACTACAGATTCCTGAATCCCAACTAAGAAGTGCTAAACTAGAATTTGGGGGAACATATAGGTAAAATTGTATACTAAGACAGAGCACTAAATGAAGTATACAATTTTACCTATACGTTCCCCCAAAATTCTAGTTTAGCACTTCTTAGTTGGGATTCACGAATCTGTAGTTTAACAACTCCACCAGGTGATTCTCATCATGAGCGAAGTTTGGGAAACACTGGTCTAGACCATCTCATCAACCCTGTTCTCTCACAGATGAAGCACCTGCACCTGCGGCCACACAGGCAGGACCAGTAGACAGCAAGCCCCATCCGGGCGTGCGGGCATTTGTGCAGGAAGGAAATTCCGGGGAGCCCGGAACAGACGCCCTCTGCCCAGCTCTTTCCCCAAACCTCCAAAGTTAGATTCATCAGAGACCCCAAGGTTTCCTCAGGTCTCCTCGTACCCCGGGCTCAGGGGCCCCACGCCAGCCCAGTGCAAGTGCAGGTGCATGACCAGGAGGCACAAAACCAGTGACGTGCACAGTGAAGAAGCGAGGGGCTCCATTGGGCACCAATATGCTTTTCATTCCTCTCCACTGCTCGCCAATCCGCCTAAAGACAAAAGCTGCGTGGGCCCACAGCCACAGGACAAGCTAGAGTATAATGGCAATGGGGTTTTTCTCCTCCACTGTATTGTTAAGGATCCTTTCTGTTTACGGCAATAGATATTCCTAGTTTCCCACTGGGAAAGTGGCTTAAAAAGTTTTCAACTCGAGTTCCTTTAAAGTCAAGTATTAAGTAAGAGCATAGATATACACAGCAAAATACACTGAGTGGCCAGATTATTGTGGGTTCAGAGATCATAATAATCTAGCCACTCAGTGTATGTGTGTATTAGAGGCCCGGTGAATGAATTCGTGCATGGGTGGGGTCTGGCTAGCCTGGCCAGGGGGAGGGGACATGGGCAGTTGGCTGGCCTGCCTGCTGGTCAAACTCCTGGTCCAGGGGACAATTTGCATATTAGCCCTTTATTATATAGGATATACAATGAGTGGCCAGATTATTATGCCTTCAAAGATCATCATAATCTGGCCACTCAGTGTATAGTGAAGGTGCTCCACTTAGTACTACAATCTGGGAAATTATGCTCTAGCCAAGTCAGGTTTTCTCAGAAGCAATACTGCTTGCCCTCTTCCAAGGGTAAAGAATGACTGGTGTTCGAGAAGCTTCCTACAGCTGCACTATCCTCTCAGAGACCCCCGAACAGACCCCCGACGGGTGACCCAGAGTGAGCGAGCAACACCAGCAGCTGTTCACCTCTGACATCCAACTGCTAACAGCACACCTGCCAGGACCTAAACTGGGGGAGGACACAGCTCGAACTTGTCTCTCTTCCAGGAGCAGAACAAGGGGCTGCCCCCCGGGAATTAGGGAAGGAAAGTTTGAAGGTTAAAAGTTCTGAGCTGGTAAAGAACGTGGCATATGAGGCCCAGGCAGCGTGGCTCAGTGGTTGAGGGGTTGACCTATGAACCATGGGGTCACGGTTCGATTCCCAGTCAGGGCACATGCCCGGGTTGTGGGCTTGTCCACTGTGGGACGTGGAGGAGGCAGCCGGTCGATGATGCTCTCTCCTCATTGATGTTTCTATATCACCCTCCTTTCCTCTCTGAAATCAATAATATTTAAAAAGAACTTGGCACATGGGAGTACCAGAAACATCAAAACAAGCTACTCACACCCCTGGGCCTCCAATTTTATCCTACGTTTGAAAGTGCGAGTCGGACTCTGATCTTCCATATCCTTTCCAACTTTTTTTTTTTAAATATATTTTATTGATTTTGTACAGAGAGGAAGGGAGAGAGATAGAGAGTTAGAAACATCGATGAGAGAGAGTCATCGATCAGCTGCCTCTTGCACACCCTCTACTGGGGATATGCCCGCAACCAAGGTACATGCCCTTGACCGGAATTGAACCCGGGACCCTTCAGTCCCCAAGCCGATGCTCTATCCATTGAGCCAAACTGGTTTCAGCTCCTTTTCAACTTTTAAGAGATCCACTATTACTGCTTCCCTTCCCAGCAAACCATTCGTCTGACAAATAGGGAAACTGAGGCCTAGAGGTTTAAGCAGCCCAAGAAATGCTCTCTAGCATTAATATTTTCTCTCGCAGATTATGGTAAATGAGGCGTTCAGCGTGGCACTGAGCATAGAGCAACCCGATAAGTATTGAATGAGTGAACTTACTTGCTCACAGGAACCCCTGAGAATCTGAACTCACACCTCCTGAACACTTTTTCTATCTTCTCATCCTCACCTTGTTACACACCCACCCGAGCCTTCTGGGACATCCAACCTAACCCAGCCAGATGAAGGGTCCAAAACATTTACCTGCATTGCTGTAGGGGCACCTGTGCCCAAGGTCACAGCGACCAGGTGAAAACGCCACATTCCTAGGACACTCTGGCCCAGGACCGATGAGCAAAGGACAACTAAGTCGTCCCAGAAGGTGGCCCTCCCTCCCCGCACCACATCCACGGGGAGGGGGTGCTTGTGTGCAAAGAAATGCCATACACCCCAGCCTGCGCAGCCCAGTGGTTGAGTGCTGACCTATGAACCAGGAGGTCAGGATTCTGATCGATTCCGGTCAGGGTATGGCAGGCTCAATCCCCAGGGTGAGATGTGCAGGAGGCAGCGGATCACTGATTCTCATCACTGATGATTCTATCTCTCTCTCCCTCTCCTTTCTTCTTTGAAATCAATAAAAATATATTTAAAAGAAAAGAAATCCCAAACAGTGGAAACTGGGAGAAAGTGGAAGCTAATGGCCACACCAGGCATCACTGACTCCACCTGCCTCAGCAAAAAAAATAAAAATAAAAATAAAATAAATAAATTAAATCCTGTGTTACAGCCGGCGTGGTGGCCACCAAGGTCAGGACGCGCAGGTGCAGGGCTGAGGAGCCCGGTCCCCGAGGAAGGAAGGGAGGAGGAAGAATGATGGGCAGGGCTTTGCCGGAGGCCTCTCGCCCCCACCTACATGCCAACAGCTCCCGAGTCGCTGTGGATTCCTGGAGAACCAGTCTCCCCGAGCAGCCCTCCCCTGCTCCGTCCTTCCTTTCCCTTCCCACTCCGGCCTCCAGGCCACCGAAGGCTCCGCGCTCTTTGCGGAACCTCAGAGGCACCTGTCAAAACCCCACTCCGTCCAGCAGCCTGCCTTCCCCGCGCCCGGGTCTGTCCTTCCTCCGGGTGTCTCCCACCGAACCCTGAGGCCCTCCCCCCAAGCCCCCTGCAACCAGATGCCCCCCCAGGTCCCCTCCCGCCCCCTCCCCGCGCCGGGGAAAGCCTCGGCGGGAAGCCCCAGCATCGCTCAGCTCCCCCCTCCCCGCCCGCCTTCTGCTCCCACAGGGGCGGGGGCGGGGCTGGCGCTGGAGGTCCGAACTCTGGGCGGCAGGTGCGGGCCGGGGCCTAAGTCCTCCATCTGGGGAGGGCGGAGGTGCCGCCTGGGCCAACTCGCCGCGGCCCCCTCCTCCCAGCAGCTCCCGGGGGGGCAGGAGCGGCGCTCCAGGAGGGCAAGAGGCGGGAGGGGGGCGCAAAGAAAGATCAAGAGATTGGCGGAGCCACCCCGCCCTGCGGCCAGTCCCCCAAGGCACAGGCGGCGCGGGTGGAGGGTGGAGGGTGGAGGGTGCGGACCCCTTCCCCGCCCCCTCCCCGGCTCCTACCTGTCCCGCGGGTCGATCCAGCTGGTGGTGCGGCTCGTGTGGTCTATGTAGTAGACCTTGCCGTCGAAGTCGCGCGCCTCCTCCCAGCCCTCCGGCAAGGGCAGCTCGGGCCGGGGCATCTTCCCAAGAGCGGCCCGCGCTCCCCCATGCAGCTCCGGGTCGCCGCCGCTGGGGCCCCGGGCTCAGCGCCTCCCGCCGGCTCTGCTACTCGGCGCGGGCGGCCGCCGAGGCACCATAATCGGGGGCGGGGGGTGGAGGTGGCGGGGGTGCCCGCGGCCCCGGGGCCCTAGCGGGGGCCGGTCGGGGTGGCGCGGCAGCCCATGCGGCCCTGTGGCCCCGCGGCCCCAGCCCGCCGCCGGGCTCTCAGGCTGCCATGTGCGCCCGCGGCGGCGCGGGGCGGTGCGGCCCGGGTGCGCGCCCGGCCGGCGGGGCTGAGCGAGCCGAGCGCGGCCGCCGCTGCCTCCCTCCCTCCGCCGCCGCCGCCGCCGCCTGTGCGCCCGAGCGCCGTCCTCCGCCCGCGGCCGCTCGGCGATCGCTCTGCCGGCGCCCGGAGCCTCCGCCAGGTGCGGCGGGCGATGCAGGTAGCCGCGGCCCCGGAAACGGGAGGCGGAGCGCCGGGCGCCGGGTGCCAGGTCCCCTCCCCGCGCCCGGCGCCGCGAGGGGCGGGTCCTCGAGCCCGAGACGCGCCCCCTCGTGGGACAGCCCGGACCGCCGCCGGCCCCTGCGCCGCCCGGGTCTGCAAAGGGAGTCCTCCCCTTACCTGGTCCCAAGCCCAGATGGGAACCCCGGCTGGCTGTGCGAGACCCGCTCTGCCTCTTACTTCCCAGGCGCCCCTGGCTCTCCCCGCCCCGCGCAGCCCGGCTCTGGGTACAGGTGGCCCCGCATCTGACAACTCCCCGCGTCCCCGTTCATGCAGAACCCGGAGCAGGCAAGAAGTGGTTAAGTAGAAACACTCTTGCAAATCGGGGAACAGAAGTTTCACAGGAGCTCTGAGCCCTCCCCCACAGCACACACGCCATCTGTCTCCCTCTTATTCCATTCTTCTTTCTCCCCGTGTGGTTTCTTCCATCCCCGCCTCCCCAACCCCAGTGTTTGCAAATGTAGCGGGCGTGGTGGCCACCTCCTCGGGGCCCCTCCCCCGAGAGGATTTCCAGAGGGGGTCAGGGTGAGCACGCTGTAAAAATAATCATCGTGATGTTGCTGTTGTTGAGCTAAATTGAGCGCAGAGCCGTCCCAGGCTGTGGGCCAGCAGCTTCGCATGCGTTCTCTTCTTTGCTACGTTGAGGTATGTTACATATTTGGTGGGAACGGGGATTTTGAAAAGAATAAAGAACACACACGCACACAAAAAAATGTTCATCTTGAAGAAAAATTAGACATTTTCAAAGCAGACCCAGTGTTTCTTGAGAAATGAAAAATAATGTCATTTAATACAAAAAAAAGACGGTAGCATGATTGGTGGAGGGTCCCTTGTCTGTGTTTCCTGAATGTGTATAACTCAATCTTTGCCCTGGACATGTGTCCGGAAGCTGGACGGAGGGATGAAGCCCAGGGCTTCTGAGGATCCTCTTGCTGAGCCCCCCAGACTTCTGGAGACGCCAGCATCTTGTGTTGTGTGGGCCCAGGAGTGCTGAACCAGAGAGGAAATCCCAGGTTTGTGGTCTCAACCGAGAAGACCCACCCACCATGGCAGTTCCTCGCCTCCAAAGGCCTTCCGCACAGTCAGTTACTTCCCTGAGGCCACACCTATGGATTCTTCCCTCCCTCCCTCCACAGAGGCCACGCATAAAAATCCGGACACGGGGACCTCACACTGGCCACCAGCAAACAAAAGTAGGAGTTCCCCATCTTTTCATGGGGGATTCCCTACACTTCCTCTGCCGGATCATGACCTCACTATATAAAAACCTCCCACTAGTAATGAGAACAGCAACTCCAAAGGAAAGCCAACATGGTACTAAGTGCTTCACAAACGTGAGCTAAATTAATCCTCACAGCAACCCCCTGGAACTGGGAATGCTACTTATACCCATCCACTGATGAAAAAACTGAGGTTCTAAAATGCTGTCCTATTGGCTAGGGCACTCGGGTTCTGACTAGAGCACTAAGGTTCTAAGTTGAACCTATACTTCCTCTTTCTTTTTCTTTTTCAATTATTGCAGGTCCTTGAATATGGTTCAGTGGCATAGTGGTTTCATGATTCATTGTTTCGTTTAAAGTCCTAGAACCTATGGACGATTTTGAATGAGGACTGACAATCTGAAGCTCCTGGATCTGAAATATTGTAGGTGGTGATGAATGCTGGTCTCTGTTGAAGCTTGCTTCATGATTTTTTTGGGTGAGAAACAGTCTCGTTGGGTTCCAAACCCACCCTATGTTCTAGCCCAATGGTCGGCAAACTCCTTAGTCAACAGAGCCAAATATCAACAGGACAACAATTGAAATTTCTTTGGAGAGCCACATTTTTTAAACTTAAACTTCTTCTAATGCCACTTCTTCAACATAGACTCATGCCCATGCTGTGGTATTTTGTGGAAGAGCCACACTCAAGGGGCCAGAGAGCCGCATGTGCCTTGAGAGCTGCAGTTTGCAGATCACGGTTCTAGCCCTTGGACCTTGTGTAACTTTGCTCAACCCAAGTCTTGGTCTTAGGTCAGGAAAACATCGTAATAATCCTGCCCCAGCAAGCCTGTTAAAAGGGCCAAAGGAGAGGAGAGATGCAGAGGGCTGGCATCGCAGTGAGCCATCATCCCAGGGCCATGGCGGGTCTTCTCTGCTGAGGAGCTGAGGCTGCAAACATGGGGTTCCTTCCCTTGTTCTGCACGCCTGCGCCCACACAACGCAAGATGCTGGTACTTTCCGAGTGCCGGTACCTGCTATACTGAGCATGCCCCAATGAGACGTGACATGATGAAGTATTGTCTCTTCCCAACACAAGCCCATGATGCCCTTCCATCTCCCCTTCCTGAGATGTGTGTGTGGCTGCTTGTGACCGTCCTCCGATTTTGTTTTTGCCTCGTTTTGCAATCAAGCCTCCTTGCTGTTTGCCTCACCGGTGGAAGGAAAACGCCTTCTAGACCGCCCAATTCAACCTTCTCCCCAGCCCACCTGCCCTGGCCTTTCCCACATGGCCTGTCCCTTTGGACCTGTAGGCCGAGCTGGGGAGCAGGCAAGCAAACCCAGAGCAGGAACTGCCTCCTGGAAGCCTCTCTCTGTGGGCCCATCCTTCTTCCCTCAATCCCCGACCCCACCCCCCAACACAAGGATCCCAGGTTATCTTCCTTCCAGAAGCGGTGAGCAGGGTGAGGCAATAAAACAGATGACTGCCTGCCCCATGTGATGGCGGTGAATCATCCCCAGGCATTCTTCAAAGCTGAGGACAACCGTGAAAGGGATTAAAGGGAAAACCGACTGCGCCACGTGACGGTATGACGTGGACGTTCCTCTCCAGGTGACTGAGCCGCAGGAATCTCAAGGACAGGCCGGCAGCCCGGCCCCTCCCGCCTCCTTCCCGGGCGCTGTCTGGCCGCCCCGAGCCCAGCGGGAGGACACGGCACAAGTGATTCCAGGCCAAGGCTTTCTGCATTTGCGTCTGCATCCCGGTGGCCCACGGGAGACACCTGTGCCCGGGACAGGCCGTCTTGTTTTTGAAAAAAAATAAGACGCCCACTTCCATCCTCTCCCCCGTGGCCACAGAGAAGAAGAAAGACCAGTTTCGCCAAGACCGGTTTGGCTCAGTGGATAGAGCATCGGCCTGCGGACTGGAGGGTCCCAGGTTCGATTCCGATCAGGGGCATGTGCCTTGGTTGCAGGCGCGTCCCCGGTGGGGGGGTGGGGGGGGAGTGTTGGAGGCAGCTGGTCGATGTTTCTCTCTCATCCATGTTTCTAACTCTCTATCCCTCTCTCTTCCTCTCTGTGAAAATCAATAAAATATATTTAAAAAAAGAAAGAAACACGTGTATTTCAGAGACTCTCGGCGGGTCAGGGTAACATATTTCACCAAGATGGGGAGGAGGAGAAATGAAGCTTTCAGAAGGAACAGATATGTCAATCGTTTCCTGCTAGCTGCTGTTTGCTTCCAGAGCGTGGAGGCTGAGGAAACCTCTGCTGAGGATTTTCCTGATCCCCCCCCCCCCCCCCCCCCCCCCGCACATCTGAGCAGCACACACGGTGATGTCTCTGTGCCTGAGCTGATGATGTCCCCTTCTCTTTAGTCCCGAGTTAGCTGAAGTTCGTAATTGAGCACATGCTTTGATTTTTTGTTTGTTTGCTTTTTTCAAAGTTGGGAAAACATGTCCTAAGCCAGGGGAAATGAGGGTAGAAGAAACTTTAGCAAGAGAAATGGTTTCTTATTTATCTCCGGGCCCTTAGTGCTTAATACAGTGCTTGAAAATAAAGCGAAATACGTCTTGTATTGCCTATTTAGTTTACAAATAGGGAGGTGGCGTTTCTTTCCTTTTTTTTTTTTTTTTTTAAATGTTTTATTGATTTTAGAGAGAGAGGAGGGGAGAGGGAGAGAGAAATATCAATTGGCTGCCTCCTGGGGATTGAACCTGAAACCCAGGCTTGTGCTCTGACCAGGAATCGAACTGGTGACCTCTCGGTGCATAGAACGACACTCAGCCAATTGAGCCATACTGGTCAGGATGGGAGATGGAGTGTCTATGACTCGTGACACCTTACCCTGGTTCTTATTCACCCCATTTTACAGGTGCATAAACGGAGACTCGGAGAAGTGACTTTCCTATGGGCACATCCTAAATAATAGAGCCAAGATGCCAACTCGGTTCCCAGTGGGTTTTACTGGCGAATTCACAGAAGTATGGGTTTTACCAGGCCAACAAGGGAGGGACTTGGGGCACTGCCAGTCCGGTTGGAAGAGGGTGGAAGAACAGCCAGGATTGGAGTGGTTGGAGGCAGGAGGGCATATGCTGAGGTCGTAGCTGCCCAGAACGGGGCAGAGTGAAGTGGGCGTTCTGAGTTCTAAACTGAAGATGGATCAACCTGGGTTTGAACTCCACCGGGGACCGCAGCTGGGCTCAGCTGGCCGGGAATTCAATGGGCCCAGCGGCCGCCATGGGAGGTGGGAGGGCATTTTGCCCCGGTGCTGCCTGCCTCC